GAGAGAGAGCGAGAGAGAGAGAGAGAGAGAGTACAATCATAACTTCCGAAGTTCTTCGAAATGTTACGATTGATTTCATTCTGGCGCACGGCCCAAGGAAGTGGGTTTTATTATGACCTCGGCCTGTCTCAACCTGATTTGAAGATTACTTTTTATTTCTTCTATAGTAAATTCAGTTTTTTCGATTATGTAAAATAGAATTTCTGATAGTCTGTGCATGGATGTGTTCTGTGTAGAATTACTGTAATACAGTCAAACCTGTCAATAGCGACCGCCAAAGGGAAACACAAAAATTGGTCTTTGCAGACAGGTTTAAAATATTTTAGTACATGTTTCAATGAGAAACCATTTTCAAGGGAAACAAAACATGTGGTCTTTGTAGACAGGTGGATTTTGTAGACAGGTGGTTTTTGTAGAAGTCATGACCGCTAAAGCAGGTTTGACTGTTTACTCTTTACTGTTTATGATAGTGTTATCATTGTTTCTTTTCTTTTTCTTTCTTCAACTTCGTCTGGGTATTGAACTTGCATGAGGCCATGCCGTGGTATGTACATGTATGTTCCGAGGGCTGTGATTGGTAAAAAGCTATGAACCCAATCATGACAATGTGTCGGCCTACAAACATGAATGCCTTTCCCGGGCATATAAAAAAAAATGTGACAGGTCATCTTGAAACCGTTGAAATCTATTGCATTCATTTGTGAGTATCATTACGCAATTTCTGATGATTTCCCTTCTCCACCAGCAAGCAGTCAACACAAATGAACGAAAAAGAAAGGAAGTGAGTGTAACAGAGAAATAGACAAAAAGTTGAAAATTATTACCGTGGTAGACACTTCCCAACCCTTAACATCATCACTCCACCCCCCCCCCTCCCCCCCCCACACACACACACACAATTGTCCACGACAGGAGAAACGCTTATCCTTCTTTCTCAATATCAATGACAGAATTGTGGTGTTTCAGTTTCATTTTAGATTTTATTTTCATTTCCAACAGAACAATCAATATAAATAATTATATATATTTTTTAATCGATGTAGGAAAGAATTCGCTACCCTGTACAGTGATGCCAGATCAATAGCAGATTTAGGAAGGAGCGGCGGCAGAGCCAGACCGTGACCACCCCCCCCCTTCCTCCCGAAACCCATCTGACATTAAGTACTTGCAGAAAAATGCCCACCCCCCCCCCCCTCTAAATTGCGTGGAATTATGCCTTTTTTGCCAAATGCTGAATTCGCGCCTTATACGCATAATAATATGACAGGTTATTGTCATAAACAAATTTTTAAAGCCCCACTGCACTACTTATAGCTACTTGCGCCCTCTATATAGCAAACAATGCCTAAGTGGTGACCGTTGGTCCCCCATGGTCCCCTTTTTCTTATGTTAATTGAGAGCTGACTTGATGAGATAACCACCTGTCACTGACCATGCAGGGAGGTCTAATCCCTCCTGGCCAAACTAGTGCAGATAGTCTTTAAACAAATGAAACAAATGAATATTGGTGTTCTTCATGCAGACGTAGATTTATTGTGGACGTGATCCTGTGACTAAATGAATACATTGTGAATTAATAATGTCCTAAAATGTGCTTTGTTCGAGTTGTTATCTTCCTATACGCCGTCACAGTTGGTCTGGACAATGAATATCAATGATGACCTTTTACCTTCGTCCATTGACCTTTGATCAATGCAAGTTAGACCAAGACAATGCTATGCGATATTGCCTGTCAGTATTAAACTCATTGTTATTTGCTAATGAGGTGAAGAGCCTTTTGCTGGAAAGAATCAAAGTAGGCCGGGTTCAACTTCACACCAAGACACAAACTAAGTTTTGCTCTCAATCTTGATTCTAAACATAAGACAACAGCCGAAAGGCAATAACAGCATTATGGTAACTGTAAACTGGTAAATGTATGAACAACGTGACAGTCAATTTAAGAGAGCAAACATGTTAAAATATAGGCGCACAATACTGGTGAGTGCAGGCTCACTGTAATAGGATCAAGCGGTCAAGCTAGGTTGCTGGAATCATCAAAATGATAAGAAATTTGGCCCATTCTTCGTAAAGTTACAAGCACTATACACAGAAAGATGTATATGGGACTACCCTATATCTCTCACAGACCATGAGAGAAACAAATTTACCAAATATATGAATTAGCAGGCGGTTTCCCGGCAAATTTTTTATCATCATGTATTAGTCAAAACATATTCTTTCACATGATTGGTAATGAGAGCTTCCATTTCATTTTTTGAAATTGGGGCGTTTCCAATACTGGTCTTTACCTTTAACAAGCAGAAAACTTGAAGTGGAAGCCTAATACACCATCAAACTGGAGCATAGCCAAGAACCAGTATAATTTGGCGTTACTCGTTACCAAAGGTATTACTTCCGGATCTTCCGGAAGTCGATTGGTCATTTAGTCGCGTTTCGCTCTTCCTGCTTTTGTAAAACGTTTCCTTCGATTGAATTTGAACTATTGTCTCTACCGTACAACGTGAGAATGTTTTTTCTACTTTATTTTAATAGTACATCTAGTGATTAGCATCGGTTATTACAGGTATGATGACAAGCAATCCCAGAAGATAGTATCTTACGATAAAAACGAGGAAGTGTCATTTTATTCCCGTCGTTAATTTGTCGCAGATAGCAAATACTAGTGTACGCATGTATATGTGCTATGATTATGATACAAAGAAGATAACATTGTACATCGTCCATTTGGGGGGAGGAACTATTTATGAGCTTGAATAATTAGTTAATCAAAAGTATTTCCCTAGTTTAATAGTTCATAAACTAATCAAAAGTTAACAATAGATTATTGTATATAGAGGTTTCTTCAACCCCGCTACGGCCCATATTATCGTAAGTGGTCCAAGTTATAACGTGCCATGAATAAGTTGCAGTAAGTGTCAACCCCAAGCTCGATATAAATTGCAGAAATTATTTAACATAATAAATAAAAAAGAAACAAAATAACTGTAATGAACTAAAAATAAGTTGATTTAATAGAGACAAGTCTTTGCATATACTAATTCAGTTAAGAACTTCGGTGATTTGTATTTAAAGATGTGGACTTAAGTGTTAGCTTTCTTTTCCATATAAGGTTGTGTTTATAGTTAAGATTTAAAGGTACTATGTCCCATTTGCAGGTAAAAAAAAAATACTAATTTAGAACTTTTCAACAAAAAAGGGCTTGAAAATGGCTTTTAGTGGGAAAAAAACGACCATTAGTTGTCAAATCGACATAAGTGATTGCAATCACCCAAGTAATAGACTGAGTTTCAGACACTTTTACAAGTGGGTTATTGATGTAGACAAATGCTCATGTACCTGTTACAGCTCATTTTATGTATGTTATTACCACAACAAAGGATGTCAGTCAGTCAGTCACTCAGTAGTGTAGTGTAGACAGTAAATGGGTTTCCTTGCATACTTTGAATATGAGGACACTGTTTAAATTTTTAATGTTTAAATTTCACAGATAGGACATCGCAATTCCTGCAAAGTTCTACAGAATTTGATTTTGCCTGCTAAAGGGACATAGTATCTTTAAGTGAATGTAGGCCTATGAATTTCCAAACATTTTAGCCAATCACCAAGGATTCACGTCACGAATGTTTATATCATATGAAAATTAGTTCCTGTGGTTGTTAAATATACTCTCTTCCAAACTGTCAAATTTTCTCATGTAAAGAAGAGCCGAAACAAAAGACTAATGAATGGACAACGGAATCAATCATACAACACACACAATACAATAAACTAATTAGTGAACCAACAATTTAAACTACCAGTGCTATATAATAATATGGATATTTATATAGCGCCGGTATCCGCCAGGCTCTGACGCTCATGGCGCTGTACATACATGTATTACTATCACAAAAATATAACATTCTTAACTAAAATAAAGTAAACTAAAACAACACAAATTATTACGCTACATTGACATGATTAAATAGCACTGTTTAGAAAGAGATGGGTTTTTAGAGCAACTTTGAAGGCATGAAGGGTAGTTAAATTACGAATACTAAGTGGCAGCTTATTCCAAAGGGACGGACCAGAATGAGAAAAAGCTCTATCCCCCCAGGAACTGCGCGTCTTAGGGACAACTAATAAGGAGGATTGAGATGAACGAAGACGTCTTGTAGGCTTATACTTAACAATCAACTTGATATTGTAGGAAGGAGCAGAGTCATACAATGAATGGAAAACTAACAACAACAACTTAAAAATGATTCGGTCACATACCGGGAGCCAGTGAAGAGTTTTGAGAATGGGGGTGATGTGGGTTCTACGAGAAGAAAGTGTGACAATACGTGCAGCAGTATTTTGCAGTTTCTGAAGTCGAGAAAGTTGTGTGTTAGGGAGTAGATAGAGAATAGAATTACAGAAATCTAAGCGTGATGAAATAAGAGCATGTACAAGTTTCTCTGTGGTTGAACGACTTAAGTATTTCCTAATAAAACCTAGATTTCTTAGTTGATATCTGACTGACTTACAAATACTAGAAACATGAGTTGACAATGACATAGACGAGTTTAACATGACACCAAGGTTACGACATTGCGAGGAAGGACTAATTACAGAATCTGATATGGATATATTGAACGACTGTATCTTAGCAAGATTCGATTTGGAACCCAATAAAATTAGTTCAGTTTACATGGTTTTGGCAGCTTGGTAACAACCGACTTATATTTCCCAAGTTTAAATAATTCTATACGGGACTTTATACTTAGTATGATTTAACAGATCAATTTTTTATAAATGTAACTTTAATGTTTTGACACTGCCTAAATGGAAATCAATCTCGTCACTTTATTCAAATACTAAAATAACACACACCGCCCTCTCCGACCATACATGTAATGTAACGTCACATTCACCTTCACATACATTTGCCGAAACGATAATAAAATCATACACTATTCATGTTCTGCCATCCACACAATCAATATCAAAATACGAGTATAGTAGACACTTTGCGCTTTTTTGAATTTGTTTACAATGAAATATTTATTTCCGTAATAATAGCACTCCATACTTTGTAGTACGATTTAACAATAATTGGCAAGTATGATCAAGTCCATTGGATACTGAGATTATATAAATATCAGAGAGATTAAATTATGGATAAGGACTAGTCAGCTTTAAGAACATTAGAAACGAGTAGTAATCATCATATCTATCATATATCCCAAGTGTATCCATGCAATACATTTGAATTTCCATGTTAACCTATATGGTAGCCGGATATTAATTTTTATCCAAGATGAAAGGTATGCATAGCTCGAAATCATTAGTTGTGAAAAACCATTTCCGAAATTTGACATCCTTGCGACTTGGGGTGTGTATTATTTTATACTGCTACATCTAAGCAACTCTTATAGAGTAATCCCTCCAGAAATATAAGCTCTAAAGATTTCCATTGTAATCAATTAAAATCTTTAAATCTTAAGAAACTCCTTCATGATTTGATCATGGAAGTCTTAGACGAGGACGTAATGTTTTTGTGATGGGATGAGGACCTGGTCAATGACGTGGATGACTCCGTTGGTGGTCGGGATGTCGGCTTGAATCACACGGCTTGCTTCTGACCGGTCTTGGGCCTTATTAAGAATAATTTTTCCTGTAAAGAAAGTGATGAGAATTTGGAAGTTGGCTTGAGAGAAATCAAGAGTAAGGATTAAAATCTTGAAGGAAACGCCCCAAAATAATGTACTTCTGTTTGAAAGCAAATATGGAAAACTTTCAATCATTTTGCCATTGCTAACAACCAACAAATCGATTAAAGGGCAAAGTTACACTTCAAGTTGCTAAGTGATGACGAGATCTGGGAGATTTTTAGGGTGGAGCTTAGCAAGTTTGAAATAAATATATTTCAACAAATTTAAAAATCTATGAAACACATTCAGAAGTTTACATATCAAAATATGAGATGTATATATGCAGGAATTACACAACATTTACATGTTGAGTACCAAGAATATAAATTCATACATCGAATTGCCAATAATACCTTTCCCTTTCCCAAACACCAGTTCATAAATTTGCTTATTCTTCGTTCCTGCATCCATTTTTTGTGAAGATTTTTTTCCCGAGCCATTTAGAAATAAGTTCCCCAAACGGAAGTAAAAGGGAAAGCGAAGTCTTTCTGTATATAAGGTTGTTTTTTTTTGGGGGGGGGGAGTGGGGGTTCTGAGCTCAAAGTCATTTATGGTCCATAAACTGTAGTGATTTGACATTCTCGTTCTGGAAGCTAGAATAAATGCATACCATCTTCAAAAATCGGACCAAAAGACGTACCGTTTTCAATGCTGACCGAGATCTCGTCTCCCTGAGAGGCCATGATCCTCTGTCCTGATGACAATGAGGCAGAGTATCTGATGTCAGAGATCACGTGGTATTTGAGCAGGTTTTGTAGTTTGGACTTTTCTCTCTTGAGGTCATCGAGAACACCAGATGGAAGAGCGCGGAAAGCAGAGTTGGTTGGAACAAGAACCGTGACGGGGTCGGAAACTGGAATGGAAGAATAAGAATATTGACCAAAAATTTAAGTATAAGATGGTTCAGATTCCAAGGAATCATATAGACGGGACATTACCTTTGCTGTTACGTATATTTAATTATAATACTTTTCATTTGAAGAATACAAATGATAAAAAGCTTATAGATTTTTTGAAGCGATTTGAACGTTAATCCGGAAATGGGAATCATGAAACACATATTTGTAGGGTGTAAAGGTACTATGTCCCATTTGCAGGCCAAAAGAATGAAGGTTAAATTCCAGCGGCATTTGAAAGATAATACTACTTTAGAACTTCCCTAAAAAGAGGGGGCTTGCAAATAAGTGGGATCATAACGACCATTACATGTCAAATCGACTTAAGAGCTATAGAACTAGTAAGTAATAGTCTGATTTTCAGACCATTGTACCGAATGGTTGTACGTTTTGTGTTGCGCAAAGATTCAATCAGTTTAATTTTGGCCATTACAAGAAGTGGGTTATTGATGTAGACAAATGCCCATGTACCCTTTACAGCTCATTTGATTTACCGGTATGTTATTCTCAAAGCAGAAAAAAAGCAAGTCAGTCACTCAATAGTGTCTGTGAGTGAGTCTAGCAAGTAAACGGCTTTCTTTGCATAATTTGAACATTAAGACACTGCAAACATTTAAATTTCACAGATAGGACAAACATGACATATTCATTATTCCTGCAAAGTTCTACAGAATTTGATGTTGGCTGCAAAAGGGACATAGTATCTTTAACTATAGAGAGATTTTTCAAATAAATCTTTCTAATAAAAATACGGGGATGTCAAAGGCAATCGTTTAGTAAAGAGGGATGTCAGAACTTACCTTGAAGTTCTTCCTCGAGTCCGGCTTGTTTCAGGAGATCGACAATGATGGAGAAAGCTTGGTTGTCAACCACGGTCTCGATTACGTTACCGACTGGAAGTGGAAAGATGACCTTGTCGACTACCTGAATGATTCCATTGCTAGCCATCTTATCGGCGTCAATGATTCGAGCTCCATTAACGGTGACAATCTGTTTAAAAAGAAATATGATATTCACGTGTTTAGCTATAAAAGCATAAACAAAGACAGTCATACTTCGTGTACATTGTTGATTTTTTAATGCTGTGTGTGTCTGTGTGAGGCAGTTTCCACAAACCAATGTTGAAAGATTTTGTTTAGAGACAACCAAAATACACGGGAGGTATATATTTGAATATAAGCTCGGCATTCTTCTATGAATGATTTCAAATGCTGAAAGACCGGAACGACTCCAATCGTATGATTTCTGAAGTCTCGAAGACATGGAAAACTTAGTATATGAATTCCCATTTTGATTTGGTGTTACCTAATGCATTTTTTAAATATACATGCAACTACTAACCTTCTTCACCTCGTTATAGACGTTGAATCGCAGCTTGGCGCCATTCAAGCTTTGGACCTTCTGGTTGTTGCTGATATCTGTAGACCTGATCATACCTGGAATGATCCATGCCTTGACAAGTTGCTTCAGAGACGCAAGGTCTGGCTTCAGTGTGTTTGGGAGTTCCTCCCTCCATCTCCGGACAGCCTCGTCAGTGGGCAGGCACAACGTCACGGATGCTGCAAGGAGAAATTTGTGGAAATGTTTACGCTTTTCATTGAAAATAGAAATAGGAATTACATTTGGTGTAACTCGGGAATGGAATCCCCAAATCCAAAAAGACATTTCAAAGTAGAGCACAATGTTCATTACGTCAAAGTGCAAATGACACGAAGCATACAGTATTGTGCATATAGTTTGGTGCCAATATTACGCTGATCTTTCCTATTAGGAATTTAAATAAGTTATATTTATAAACATTGAGAAGGAGTAAAATAATTTCAAAGGTGTTTTTGCAGGTGAAGCGAAAGAGAAATGTAACTTACAAAGCTCTAGGAGGATCTGCCTCAGGTTAACCTGCTCTGCGATTAGAGCTGCCTCATTGAGCCCTAGAGCTGGTAACATGTCGATGACATCACCCTGGCTGGACACGTCGATAGGACTGTAGAGCAACTTCGGAGAGTGCTCGAAGATCCTTTTCAGGTACTCGGTGGCCGAGATGTCTCTATTCTGCTGCTTGACATCGTCGGGTGATAGAATCATCGGGCTGGCGACGGCTGCCCCGACGAGGACGGCTAGGAAAACGACGACAGAATGCATGGTTGAGCTGTTGGTTGCTTGGTAGTCGGGCAGAGAAACAGAGAGACGTTCGACAAGCCTGGACCCACTAGAGACGAGGTGTGGCGAAGAAATCCAAGCTCCGTATTTATATCCTCGCTTCGCCCTCTCATACCAAAAAATTACAGATACTTGGTGAATTCCCCGCATATTTCATTCCCAAGGATTCGCTAAGACGCTAAAGAATAGACAGCTGCAGAAATGTATTCAAACATAATTATGCATACCTCTTTGACAATGGTTCAATTTTGACGAATGACAGACCACTCATGCCTATCCGACACCTCAATATATTCCATGTACACGACTAGGATTCTTACTATTTGAGAAAAAACCTAAACAGTCCTGCTCCAGCCCGTTGCTTGAATGATTTCGCAATAAACCTCATGCGCAGGCTGTGTTGTTTAGAACCAGTATCTCGGTAGACGAGCGAGTTATGACGTTAGCATCTTGGTACTCTATTCATTCGTTTAACCAAGGAGTTTTAAGAGATGGAGTCATATCTAGCTCATTCCCTTTGTACCATCTTCGATGGGGCCAGGAGAAAATATATGTAGGATTTTAAAATTGTACTACTTTTCACAAATTAAAACTGCTATTATACAATGTATACTTATATCTTGACACAATTAGGCTTTTGTATTCATATTTTATCATCTGTTCGATTTTCCCCTCGTTAGTTCATATAAAAAGTGAAATATTAACGATATTTCTTTGTGAAAAATTATTTCTCAAGCTTTCCAATTATATTGGCGGCTTCTAACCTCGGACATCAAAGGTAACAGCACACCTGTAGATTATATTTTGCAACCTTAGAAAACGGCAGCTGCTTGAAATAATTTGTTGCCAGTTGGGACTCCAGCTCTCAAGATTTCTTGGTTTAACCAGGGAGGTGAAAGAAAAGGAGGCGAAACTCTTGTAATTTATTCAAACGCATTCTTGAGTTCTAAAGCGTAACAATGGGATGTGTAACATTCCACTTGGCTTTGAAGTTCCATGCTCCGAACCGCGCTTCCACTGCGGGGAATTTCGGAAGCCAGGCACCAGTTTTACATTTATTACAAAATATTAAATTACCGGCAAAATTTTAGTGTAAATCAAAAACTTTATATGGGGATTTTATTGGGAATAGTGCATCAAACAAATTTTCAGATTTAGAACTCCGTCCTTCCTTTAATTTGTGCGCCAGAGTTGGTAAAAGAAAAATTACATCCTGTCAAAAACTCAATATTTTAGGATGATGCGCTAATTTGTGCATGCTTTAATGTCCCGTTATTTGATCCATGATTTACAATCTTCAATAACATTAAGTTTGCTAATGCGTGTTTTCGCGTGTTTTTTGTATTTTTCAAGTTTAAAAAAGGATGAAAGTACACAAGTTTGTGTTCGCTTGTTCTACTCTTTACACATTCAACAATGGATGAGAAATCATTGGAAGGGACAGCGAACAGTTGCAGTGATAACATTTTCTGATGTAGGAATTCTAAATCCTGAAATTTCATGCGCTCTTTTATCTCACCACCTGGTCAACAGTTGCAGATTAGCGCATAACTTTTCGGCGGCTTGGAGCATGGGGTCAAAGGAGAGCGGCTTGATTCCTGTCCTTCTCTATCACGTCCCTGGTTTAACTATTCTAAGATAATGACGCAGATCTGACCACTTTCAGAATGCTCCAAATCATGGACGATCATGTGCCTTCTGAATATTCTAACATTCTATTAGATTACAAAACCATTTATGATCGTTAACCGTGAGTCGGCACCCATTATCAGCTGTTCACATCATGATGATCAATGGAATCATTCTCGTATTCTTCAAATAATTATATTCACGCTCCTACCCCAAGCGACCCGTCCACGAGTGTTATGAAATTCATGCCCTATGATAGGGCAGGGACGTGATAGAGAAGGACAGGAATCAAGCCGCTCTCCTTTGACCCCATGCTCCAAGCCGCCGAAAAGTTATGCGCTAATCTGCAACTGTTGACCAGGTGGTGAGATAAAAGAGCGCATGAAATTTCAGGATTTAGAATTCCTACATCAGAAAATGTTATCACTGCAACTGTTCGCTGTCCCTTCCAATGATTTCTCATCCATTGTTGAATGTGTAAAGAGTAGAACAAGCGAACACAAACTTGTGTACTTTCATCCTTTTTTAAACTTGAAAAATACAAAAAACACGCGAAAACACGCATTAGCAAACTTAATGTTATTGAAGATTGTAAATCATGGATCAAATAACGGGACATTAAAGCATGCACAAATTAGCGCATCATCCTAAAATATTGAGTTTTTGACAGGATGTAATTTTTCTTTTACCAACTCTGGCGCACAAATTAAAGGAAGGACGGAGTTCTAAATCTGAAAATTTGTTTGATGCACTATTCCCAATAAAATCCCCATATAAAGTTTTTGATTTACACTAAAATTTTGCCGGTAATTTAATATTTTGTAATAAATGTAAAACTGGTGCCTGGCTTCCGAAATTCCCCGCAGTGGAAGCGCGGTTCGGAGCATGGAACTTCAAAGCCAAGTGGAATGTTACACATCCCATTGTTACGCTTTAGAACTCAAGAATGCGTTTGAATAAATTACAAGAGTTTCGCCTCCTTTTCTTTCACCTCCCTGGATAGGGCATTGGTCTTACCTGATAAATAGTCCATTTTCGTAATGTAACTATTTCATTTATATGCATTGGGAAGCGTCTCGATACGAATTATTTCGTTTACCCGTTACGAATAATTGTATCTCAAAAGTCAGAATTCAAATTGCATACATTATTTGTTGCTATGTAGGACAAGCATTTTGGCTTCTCCTACCTAACAGCACGTAATAATGCAATTTCCATTCCGACTTCCGGTATTGACATTATTCGTATCACTAGACAGGTGAATGAAATAATTTGTATCGAGGCACTTGAGTATAAATGTGGTTACATCACGAAAATGACTTATTGGGACATTCAATGTAAACAAAACATGTGAAAGGTTTCATGATTTGAAGCATTCCTAGAATGGACCCTGGCCTAATGATCTTTGAATGGCTGGATAATTGAATAGTTTTGCAATAGTCACAATGCGATCTGCAGACAATATTTGTTGCTTATCAAAGCAAGACTGAGCAAGTTAATACATTCTATTGTCAAATGTAACCGCTATCAAAGAGTTTTGTGTCTGATGGATCTTTAAAAAAAAAGTAATATGAATAGAATTCTCAAAGTATTTCCCTACCTGCGGTACGAGCTGGAGAGACAGGGTTATAAATAGTGGTACTTGGATTTCTTCGCCACACCTCGTCTTTAGTGGGTCCATGCTTGTCGAACGTCTCTCTGCTTCTCTGCCCGACTACCAAGCAACCAACAGCTCAACCATGCAGTCCGTCGTCGTTTTCCTAGCCGTCCTCGTCGGGGCAGCCTTCGCCAACCCAATGATTCTATCACCCGACGATGTCAAGCTGCAGAATAGAGACATCTCGGCCACCGAGTACCTGAAAAGGATGTTCGAGCAGTCCCCGAAGTTGCTCTACAGTCCTATCGACGTGTCCAGCCAGGGTGATGTCATCGACATGTTACCAGCTCTAGGGCTCAATGAGGCGTGTCTCATCGCAGAGCAGGTTAACCTGAGGCAGATCCTCCTAGAGCTTTGTAAGTTATGTCTTTCACTATGAACATGACAGACAATGAAAGCGGACAAAATATACAGTTCCTCAGGTAAACAAAGGGACATCCCTTCACTGCTATTGTGTAAAAATGTGTAGAACAGGTGTCACATGCATATTCACCTGTTCTACACATTTTTACATAATAGCAGTGAAGGGATGTTCCTTTGTCTACCTGAGGAACTGTATATTTTGTCCGCTTTCATTGTCTGTCATGTTCCTAGTGTTTTTTCTAATAACTTCGCTTCACCTAATATACGATGTCTATGCTGTAAAATAATTTGCCATTGGTTTCACCTGATGAACCCCCAATATATATTTGTATTTCTAAATTCTAGACGTCACTGTATCTCTTTCTCGTTATTTGATGAAGAAAAGGAATTTTAGGAATGAAACATCATAATTCGTCTCGTGCATTAGTGGGTTGCGTCTCCGGTCTAAACCAAATAAAATGTTACCTTAAAGTTCGACAAATCCCGCATTCCAATATTCAGTAACCAACCCCTGATTTTCACTTTGAAGCATCATCCGTCACATTGTGCCTGCCCAGTGACGAGGCTGTCCGGAGATGGAGGGAGGAACTCCCCAACAGGCTGAAGCCAGACCTTGCGTCTCTAAAGCAACTTGTCAAGGCTTGGATCATTCCAGGTATGATCAGGTCTACAGATATCAGCAACAACCAGAAGGTCCAAAGCTTGAATGGCGCCAAGCTGCGATTTAACGTCTACGAAGAGGTTAAGAAGGTGAGTAGTTTAATTTGAAAATGCATTGGGTTTGCATCAAATAAAAATCTGAAATTATTTATTTTTCCATGTCTTCGAGTCTTCGGAAATCTACGACTCGAGCAAATTTCAGTCTTTCAGCATTCGTTAAAAAATCATTCATACAAGAATGCCGAGCTTAAATTCATTAATTTTGTATACCGCTCGTGTATTTCCCTTGGCTTTAATTTTTTCTAACATTATTTTTTGTCCAGAAACTGCTCTACATACGGCATGACCCCCTCCCCCCATGTACAAGGACCGTCTTGATTATGCTTTTATAGCCAAGTGACATGAAGAAAATAATAATTTCTTTAAAAACAGATCGTCACCGTGAATGGAGCTCGAATCATCGACGCCGATAGGATGGCAAGCAATGGACTCATTCACGTAGTCGGCAAGGTCATCTATCCACTTCCAGTCGGTAACGTAATCGAGACCCTGGGTGATAACCGAGCTTTCTCCATCATTGTCGATCTCCTGAAACAAGCCGGACTCCAGGAAGAACTTGAAAGTAAGTCCTAACGTCTCCTTTTTTTTTAAACGATGGCCTTTTACTCCTGACTACCCCGTATTTTTTCATTTGCGGATAAATGTTTGTCCGCAAATTCAATACACAATAAAATTCAATCATTTTTGTTTCCCCATTTTTTTCTCAATAACAATACAATGTATTTAAAATGGCGAAGATAATACTACCTCTTATCCCATGGAATCGGAACCATCTTATCCCATTTCAATTGTGAGAAAACGCTTATACCTCGTGTAATATCTGGCATTTCTAAGAGGTTTCTGCTGAAATGGAACGATCCTGGGGGAAATCAAAGATTTTCAAGCATTGTTAGCATAGTATCACTATTTTGGGGTCATTCTTATTGTTCATTTCATTCCAGTTTCCGACCCCATCTCCGTTCTTGTGCCCACCAACTCTGCCTTTCGCGCCCTTCCATCTGGTGTTCTTGATGACCTCAAGAGAGAAAAGTCCAAACTACAAAACCTGCTCAAATACCACGTGATCTCTGACGTCAGATACTCTGCCTCATTGTCATCAGGACAGAGGATCATGGCCTCTCAGGGAGACGAGATCTCGGTCAGCATTGAAAACGGTACGTCTTTTAATCCGATTTTTAGTAGATACTTTAGTAGATACAGAAACAAAAAGAGTGATCCAATTTATGAATTAGTGTTGAAAATAATAGCTAGTTCTTATATAGCGCTTTTCAGGACCAAAGGCCCTCCCAAAGTGCTTTACAGATATATATTATTAGAAAATTAGAATTTACCATTAGCAATCGTTCATGTATGATCTAATCTAATACTTAGGACGTTAACTTTTTTTTCCTAATTCTTCTATTATACTGATGGTTAAAATGCTGTTCGTTTTTAAACTTTTTTTTTTTCTTTTTTTTTTCTTGTTGCCATGAAGAAAAAAAATCACATTTACGGATGTTTCCTCCACAAAGATCTAAACCATCGTGTCAGTTGACTTTCCCTGAGCCTGTCTCTTGAATTTTCTCAAGCCAACTTCTACATTGTCATCACTTTCTTTACAGGAAAAATTGTTCTGAACAAGGCCCAAGACCGTTCAGAAGCAAGCCGTGTGATTCAAGCCGACATCCCGACCACCAACGGAGTCATCCACGTCATTGATCACGTCCTCATTCCATCACAAAAACATTACATCCTCGTCTAGGACTTCATGATATAAATTCGGCCTTGGGCACCTTTTCGGAATATTTCAATAAAATTGAATGATTCATACTTAGGCCTATCAAAATCTCATGTTGGCAGCCGTTATAATACTGAATGTGTATGCCATGTTAGACGAAAACGACTGGATTCTTTTACATTTGATAAAAACTCTTACCAACATTGTTTGTTGAATTCTGCCCAACACTGATTTTCGACAATACACATCCTTCTCGGAAGACTTCATTGAAGCCGGAAATCGATAAATATAATAATTTTCCCGAAACACAACTTCTGCAAATATGGGTTGGAAAATTTCAGAATAAACATAATACTGTATATGACATGTATGATTTAATCATGCTGAAAGTGTGAAATATTTAGGAAATAAATTTTATTTAGCTGCAAACATCTTGTTTCGGTGTTTTAATTATGTAATCGACGGAATGTGAAGGGCGAGCGTTAAGTTGTATTTTGGTGGCGTTGATATACAAGAGCGAGTGAAGGGCAAAGTCATAACAGAGTGATCACGTGATATGGATTTGGAACGATAAGAGTCGAAATCGAGTTTGCGAACTGGTGACTGGTTGTGAGATGCTTGATAGATTGATTAATATTATCACAGAGGTCGAGTCCAAGATGATTTTGTGTCATTTTACTTGAAGACATCAATAATCTGATCTAAAAAATCCTAATTGATTTATCAATATACCACCCCTGAAGTCGATGCATCAATTTTAAATTCCAGTAATATCAGTTTATACTTTGAGAAATAGATAGTCCTATTTATCTCTGACTTTTACTGAAGCCATATTTTGAAAACTAGCATGTTATGGCCCCTTTATAACATTAATTGATTAAACATGATCTTTATCGTAATGATAAACACTTTTCAAAATCATGAACGGAGTATGGGCTCTCGAGTAGTCCACATCATTAATGAATAAGTCAAAATTTGATGCAAACGATATGGATACGATCAGATATGTTCATTGATGAAAATATCGACCTTTCTTTTTTACGTTCCATACGAATCTCATTTCCTGACCTAATAAATAAAATGTAATAACAACTGTGAATGATTTGGAGTTTTTGAAAGTTTAACCTTATTCCAATGATTGTTTTGTAATGGTCCATGTACCCGATTAAATCGGAAGTTCACTCAATAACAACAGGAACACTTGATAATTTTTATCACAGGCGTACGCCTTGTGTAGTACATGTAATAGAATTGGATTGAAAAACAAGCCTTATGTGTTAGTTGCCTAATTACTCTATACTGATATTCTGAAAAAGATATACCGGTCGCCTCTTGGCCTTTTGAACATTTCTGTGGATTCTGCTTAAGACACAATACAATTCGTTCATACCACAAGTCATGTACCTCCGAATATAATTACTCTTTCCTATTAACTCTTTATTATTTTTGTTTAAAACGCTCAGTTGTATTTGTGTTTGTTTTCCTACGTGCATCTTAGCTTTCTTGATATTCATGTCCCTTATGTTTGTTTAAATTATATTTTGTTAGGAAAGGAGGATGGGGGCGCATCAAAAAAGTGTGGAAAAGGGGCAGAATTCTCTCAAAACCGGGATGAGGGGAGATGTATAGCCCCATGTGTTCTGTAGACCTATTCTGCTCGACTATACTTATCACTTGTATTACTTGTTCATGTCTATTTTTTCTTCTATGGGCTTTGAAACGGGTAGGGCCTACGTCCCCCCCCCCCCCTCCCCTCTCTCTCTCACGCTATCCCGCTCTCTCACATCTCCCCTTCTCTCTCTCTCTCTCTCTCTCTCTCTCTCTCACACACACACACACACACACACACTTCCCCTCTCTCTTCTCTCCCTCTCTACCCCCTCTCTCTTCTCTCCCTCTCTACCCCCTCTCTCTCTATCTCTCTCTGCACCTCTCTCACTCTCTCTTATCTTCCCCTCTCTCTCCCCCTCTCTAAACATGTAGGATATTGATGAGCAAATATTCAGTAACTCGGCCATATATTGGTGAAAAAATCACTCCCTTTGCTATCATAACAGGTCAAGCACATTGTCTTTGAACCAAGAGAGGATGGGTGTAACTTCCGATCTTTAACAAAATAAACAATGTACATGTACTATCATTACAGCGGTTATTACCGTCGAATTAAAGTGACTCTGCTATATCATCATACTTTATGTTACATATAACATTATTGTAAGCGTTATTATGTGAAACAAATATTTTTATTTGAATAAAAATGCGCACATATCATAGTACTATTTAGCTTTTGAAAAATATAATATCTACCATTTTCTGCACCTCATACCATTTTCAAGAGAGAAAAAAAAAACTGGACTAACTTCCTGATGAAATTTCTCCTTTAAACATTATCCCATTGAATAAATTATCATTAGCGGAACCAAAACATTGTTGAAACGTTCATAAAAAGGTTGAAATCAAGGCGGATCGTACATAGTTCGTTGTCTTTTATTGACAAAATTATAATTATTTTTTAGTCCGAACTAAATTCCCACGGTCACATTTCTGGTGAAACCGTTTTATTTTCATCTGTCAATAACAGACATGCAAAGTATACGATGTAAGAGGGTTACCTTTATATTTTCGTCTTTAATTCGATTCCCACAGGCTTTATTTCCCATTAAATATTTTGTTTAATCTGTAATTAGCATGTGTTCTATGGATGAGTATGCTATGGGAAGACAAATGATTCTAGGACAACCAATTACAAGTGACTACCAGCCCGGACAACTGCCACCCCGCCCATCCGGACAACAGCCCTAAAAGACAGCCACCCCGGACATCTATCCAAAAACAACTTCAAATATATTCGTTGGGGGCATTGACACCAGGACAACTACCCCCCCCCCCCCCCCTTATTGGGATCGTATGGAGGAAGGAGGGGGAAGTAATCACTATTTGCAGAAGTTATTGTAGAATTCCTTTTTTAAAAATAATTTTATGCGATGTAAAAATGCAAACAGTGATAATTCTGTCCTAATCCTGTGATAATTTAACAATTTTGGATGGCGTACAAACTGTTTATGTGAACTGACGAGATCTTTTCTGTTCTGAAATTGTTTGCTTAATTGTTTTGCATGTGTCATATTATTGTAATGCTGGTGGGAAGCATATTTCCACATTGTGGACGAATAAATCAAATCAATCAAGTCATGCAATAACGCTCCACAGCCGTATCACAATACTGCCCTCAACAGTGAAAATGTAGTTACTTAGATATGATGATTTTATTTATTGTCAACAATAATACAAAATCGTGCTCAAATAAATCTATAGCATGTTTTGACATGTAACAAAATAAAAAATAAATTTGCTTACAACATAAAAGTACGTTATACTGTAATTTTATATTTAGAACAATTTAAAACGATACATAGAAGTGTAATTGAAGTGATCAATGATGAAGAATTATAGAACATAATTTTCCGACTCTAAAGCAAAGCCTAACTTAAGCATTGAGAAAACAAATATATGGAAAAGGGTAGGGGAGAGAAGGGGAGAGATAAAAAGACAGACAGAGAGAGAGAGAGGGAGAGGCCCAGAAAGAGAGAGAGAGAGAGAGAGAGAGAGAGAGAGAGAAGGGATCATAGAGTTAGAGATCTGATCATGTTTACTCTGATACCACGAAGATGTCAATGTCGCTATTATTATCTTGCTTCGAAAAATATTGAGATAAAAAATGAAAGACTGATTTAGTACATGCATATATACATTTTTGTTGATAAGACTATATTCCATGTGATTAATAGTACTGTGATTAATACAACAGTATATGTAAAAGAAAGAATGACCTGAAGACTAGCTCAGTTTATCCACCTTTTCGCTGATAATTACCACAAAAAACCCACTAAATATAGTACTGTTATATATATAATAGAATTGTAATTAAAATGAAAATAGAAATTTCAAAAGCCACTGAATAGGCTAAATGTCATAAAGTAAATCAAGCAACGCATTCATACCCAAATGCACGGATTCATAATTAAACGGTAAAAAACGTCCATAACCAACATTTTTCTTTGAAAACTTGTAGGACATGAAATAATAACACTGCTCAGCCATGATAGTCAACATTACGCAATATTATTAGACCCTGCCTGACCTAGACTTGGAAATGTATGTAGCAAGTGTAGACACCAATTATTAAGCCCGACCATAGTTTTTTTTTTTTTACTTTAATCATGAGGATTTTTTTCTTCTTCCAAGTTGGGTTTTGAAGGGGGACATCTCCCCCCCCCCCCCCCCACACACACACACACAGACCGACCTGCCCATGGTTACTGGTAATTAATTTGTATACATTTAATTTAGACTTAATATTTGAACCTTTTCGCTTTGTTTTGATATTCTTCTTCTCGGTTAAGCGTTGCGTGCCGTGGATGCATCACCGTGCCTCCCAACTGAGGAGGCTCGGTTAGCCTGGGACCTGGTCCCCACCGAATTATAGATGACCTCGCTTGCTGCTACGGTCGTACCAGCTCCCGAACGCACGCTGGGGATTGTCATCATGTAGTGCTCCTGGTCGCCCTGGGGTTCGAATCCCTCATTGATCACGCTGCTTACACGGCTGGCTGGCCGAGAGTTCCGAACCACAGAACGATCGCTGCCCATAGAGCTACGGCGAGGTTCAGATGGAGCGCCATCTTGTGTCTTCAGCCAGGAAGTGACGGAAGATCGTCCTGAAGAGTTCTTGGTGTAGCCTCGTGAACCCATCTCACTACCTGTTATGATAATGTATCGAAAATAAATTCTTAAAAATTTAGGTGGTGTCACAGTGAACGGTTATGTGCCATTTTCTTTAACTCTTTTAAACTTTTAAAAAACTCGAAAGAAGAAGAAGAAAACAACACAAAAACAAAATATCGATTCATCATGCTGTTTTTCATTTTTTGATATACGGGAGGGGATAGGGTATTCTTGTGTAACCTTCAAAAGAACTCTTCTTACAAATTGAAAAGTGACCATGAAAGTAATGTTGCCCCCCCCCCCCAACTCAGAGGTCGGAATGACCTCATGCGTGTTGCCAAAATGTCCGGTAAAGGGTACGTACTTTTCGTGCGACAAAGTCCGGCCCGAGAATTGTAAAAAAAAAAAAGGGGGGTGTATTTGACTTTTCACCCGGAGATTTCTTTAAAAAGGGGTGTTTTTCTTTTTTTTCTCTCATCTCTTTGGACTCCTGAGAAATTATTCCGAATTTAGGGAGGTACATTGAGCATTTTTTCCTGATTAAGGGGGGGGGGGTCTCCAAGGCAGGAAAAGCCCGCGAAAAGCCCGCGAAAGGGGGGTTCGGAAATGTTGGCAGTCCTCAGATAAGGGGTGCTTTCAAAAAGAGGGTACGAGCATATGCGTACCCTGAATAACACTGAGTGGGGGGGGGGGGGGCGGGGTTGCTCTATTTTGTCTGAGCATGCAAAATGGTATGCTGTAAACTGCAGCTCAGAAAATAATGCGTCATCGATCAAATAATAAGACAAACACTGATTTTAAGAAAAATCAATAAAATTAATGTAGAAAAAAAGATAAACCCACCTCTTCCAGGTTTGTAGAGCATCACTGGTCCAGCCGGGCCGGGTACGACAGCAAACGAATGCTCGCTGTACGCGGGCGGCGGGAGGCTGCCAGAGATAGTTACCGGAGGCCCCTTCCGAAAATCAGAGCTATCAAGATCGTCACCATCTCCGTCACCTGGAGCGTAGCCGTACTTCGTCGACGGCGGTCCGTACTTTTCGGATGGAGCTCCGTAATGCGTTGAAGGGGAAGAGCCGTATTTTGATCTGTAGTTCGCCATGCTGCTTGTATCAGAAAAGGGCGGTCTGCCTGACCGTGGGGGAGCTTTTGAAGTAAATAAAATAAAAGAAAATGAAAGAAGACCACTATTTAGTTACTTATTTCAGAAAAGTTTATGTTTGTCTTCATTGAAAATTAATCTGCGTTTAGGGACCCCTTTCACTCAAAAATTGAATTGAAATAATGCAACTTTCTTTCTACATCTTTTTTTAAAGATAATTAATGATATCATATTCAATGATATCGACCAGATAAATTGTTTCACCACTTTTAAACTTTATTTATATTTCTAGTATCTTAATACTAGAAATGCCCTAAATTATCACCTCCCCAAGATTAGAACGACATGTATGAAAAATTCACTATTTTTTAAAGGACCATTAATATGGAATATGCCTCAGGAAATTAAAAAATGCAAAACTCTCAATATTTTTAAAATTAAATATAAACAGTTTCTGTTACATAAGCATAATACTTGTTTTACTCTGATCGTACATGAAAGTATGTTTTAGTATGTTTTTTGTTGTTTGTACTGTTCTTTTGTTCTTGTTTCTTTTTTTCCTGTACTACTAAATGTGTGTTTTTAGGAGTAGGCTTTCATATAAGGAATCCCTCCTTTCTGCCTATCCCAAATGCTCTTATAAATTGCCATTGTTATTTGACATCACTTTCTTGTTTTTTATTATTCCATTCTGTACTTGTATGTTTTAAATATTTTCATGAAGAGTGTTGAATAAACTTTGAATTGAATTGAATTAAACTGAACTGTACAGGACATTGAACTCAGAGATCAGCGCGCGCTGCGTTACAGAAGCACAAGCACTCTGCCAGGGCCACCATAGAGGGCAGTCGTCCATTAGTCATCCAGAGCATAGTTGGCCAACCCGGTTCGAGTTGGACATAATATGCAATATGGCGACTACTACTGCTTTGTTGGGCAAGCACAAAATAAAAGAATATACGCCATGTTGTGACCCAGTGAAACCAAGTTGGCCAAACTCTGTGTACAGATGGCTCTGAGTCAATCAGAGTCGTCAAATATTAAACTTTACAGTCCAATGAAGGGGCATATGCTGCTTTGTTGGGCAAGCAATAATCCCATTGCTGGTATAAATCACCATAATACGCGCGATATTGCTTTACCTATACTAGAATACAGTCGAACAAACTACACGGTTCTGTTTACAATAAAAGTTTTGCCAGCAAAACCTTTTAATCATTCTTTGAGAATTATCAAATACAGAAACGGGAACAAACAAAAACAAAAAACAAACACCAACGACCTTTTATTTTCCTTCGCTTGTTGGATGATATTGTTCGACCCCCCCCCCTATTACCCTCTGCTTCTGATGTAATACCAGAAATACCGTAATGAAAATAATTTAGATGGATCTTGAAAGCCCCTTTTTTTCTGAGGATAAAAAGCATTGTATAGTCATTAGACCTTCTTGTACCAAGCTATCCTTAAAGACCGTCAATACTACTGGGCCAGAAGGGATTAGACCACACAGCGAGGTCACTGACAGGTGGCTATCTTATTAACTCAGCTCTCAACTAACATAAGAAAAACGACCAACAGGCACCGATTGGGGAAGTTTTCTACATAGAGGGAGCAAGTAGCTACAAGTAGGACAGTGGCCCGTCTGCACTAGTTTGGCCAGGGGGATTAGACCTCCCTGCAAGATCACTGGCAGGTGGTTATCTCATCAAATCAGCATAAGAAAAAGAGGATCATGGGGGACCAGCAGGCACCGATTAGGCATTGTTTCTATATAGAGGGCGCAAGTAGCGATTAGTAGTGCAGTGGGGCTTTAAGTTAGCAGGCTCTGTATTGATGATTTGGCATGACCAGCAGCGGCTCAAAGAAGCCGATATACTACCAACAGAGGGCGAACATTACTTTATCTCAACATTGCAGAAAGACTTTACTTGGACTTACCAGCTGACCATCCGCGCTGCATTCTGAAACACGCACATCCTACGACGAAGAGGAGAATAAGAGTCAGGGCCAGCCCACCAATACCGAGACCAATTGCTACAGCGCTGAAACAGAAATTATAAAATGATCACACATTTATTCAAAATTGCTTTTGATGATTAACTTACTCTGTTCATATTGATGTATATTTCATATGTACTGTATAGTAATTTGTAGGTTTATTTGCACTTTCTTGTTTTGTTTAATATGCAACCGTTTATCATTGTATTTTTTTTTTATAGCGCTTAGTTACTTCGGTTGTTAAGCGTTTTATAAGCACCTTTTTTTAAATTATTATTATTATTTTAAAGACAGAAAATGTATTTTACTTACCCATAACAAGGAAGTATGTGTGTTTGTTTGTTTTAGTTTTTACATACGTGTATCAATCAGATATGGTTATTTACTAGTGGGTTACTTCACCATCCGACAGACGAAAGTGATTTCATCAGATTTTTTTCTCGTGGTAAAAAATAGTTATAACTGTTCTATTTAAATTTGTTTCTTCTTTTTCCCCCTTCCACAGGGTTCTTTATTTTCAAAACAAATTCCATCATATACAGTATATCCATATATTATATACAAATAATTAAAGAAATAATTTTCATACATAATGACTTGACACAGTTAATAATCATCACGGCCGAAAACTTTTGTGGGAGATAAAATCAAACATTTATGACAAAATTAGTACTTAAAATATATAATTAAAAAAATACCAAACATAAAATACATGATCATGTTTATGTTAGCACATTTCCAACACTCTCAAAATATTTTCTAAAGTGAAACCATTTCTTTTTCAATTTATTCTCTCTGAGATTTGTTTGGTATATATATTTTTCCATTTCATAATAACGTTTTACAGCTGATAAAATTATATCAAATGATGGTAGTTGATTTCGTAATTTAGCTGAAAATATTTCTTGTCTTACAACCATCAGAACACAGTTGAGTGCATTATTATTGCTACCGCAAAATCCAAACAATTTATTTTGATTTGTAAATTTGATCCTTTCCCCGTATTACGAAATATCCAGAACTCTTAACTTCGACCATACTTCATTAGAATAGTTACAAAAGCAAAAAACATGTATGATAGTTTCATCATTGCTACTACAAAAAGTACACTTCTTGTCAGCCACTACACCAAATCTTAACAAACTGTCCTTCATATATAATATTCTATTTAAAATCTTGATTTGAAACCACCTCTATTTAATACACCATGTTTGTTTAAGTGTTATTAACCAATCTTTTTTCTACTCGATAATTAGTATAGAGCTTTTGATAATTTGTCAATGGGTAGAAATATTATGTATGGCTCAGTGGTTGCACAGTGCAACCGAAAGGTCTCGAGTTCAAAACCAAGTCGATGCGCTAGTGCCTTTTGATAAGGCATTAATCCTCATTATCGAGTTCCTCGGAGAGGTCTTAAAGCCATCGGTCCCCTAGTTGCTTTGTGCAAGCATACATGTGTTTTCTTGGCAGACAGGTAGAACAATAACATATTCATTAGTCTTCTATGTTTTCCTATTTGTTTGGCTGATTAAGGGGTAAGGCTCAACTAATAATAGCACATGTGCTATTATGATATATTATTTATTTATTTATTTATTTATTTCTGATCTTTTGACAGGGTAGCCCATTCACCAGCAAGTAGTGGTCTTCCATGGGGCCCTGAATGAACATATTTACATCGTTTATAACATTTATACAGAACAGTTACAAAATAATACTCGTTTGCAAAATAATATATCATAAACCTAGTAAACAGTAATGTCAATAGGAAAATATTAATTAAGTCGCAATTATGTGAATAAGTCATGTAAATATTACAGAACATGCACGTAGTGTATATACGGCTGAGCCATTCACAAATTATTATCTGGCCCAATTTACAATAGTTTCTCTTCTTGTATATGTAAACACATTGCATGAAATGTCTTGCTGTTGGTAAATAAAATAAAACAAAATCGCAATATATTATACACATTCCATAGCAGCATTCTGAGAAACATGAGAACGTCAGCATGGGCTTGCCACAACTTACTTGCTTCTCTCCGGAATTTGTTCGCAGCAACAGGTAGTAGATGTGAAGCAGAACTCGAATCCTGGTGCGCAGTTTACAGGTTGAATTTCAACTGTATCTCTCTTGCTGACGCGAGCGATTCGTATACAGTAGGTCCTACGTCTTTCCATCTCAGCCTCGCCCATACCGCTCTCTTCGATGTGGCTTGAATGGGCTGATGATAAAAACAACAAGAGGGGATCATAATTATAATTTGATAATTTACAGTTGGAGAAGAAGAAGAAGAAGATGATGATGAAGAATGAGGAGAGGAGGGAGGAGGAGGAGGAGGAGGTTCATACCGCTCTCTTTAATGTGACTTGAATGGGCAGATAATACAAACAAAAAGAGGGGATCATAATAATACTTTAATATGTTTTAGTTGGTGAAGAAGAAGAAGAAGATGACGATGAAAGCAAGAAGAAGAAGAATGAGAAGAATGAGAAGGAGGAGGAGGAACTTCATACCGCTCTCTTCAATCCAGTGGCGGGCCCCCCCCCCCCCCCTTGAGAAAAAAAAATCATGTAAAATCACGTGATTTTTACCTTTTTGGGGGGTTGGGCCCCCCCCCCCCCCCCCCTGGCGCTCAAGGGGGGGGGGTGCAAATTGAAATTTTTTTGAGGATCAAAAAAAAAAAAATGTGCTCACTCCCCTAAGAAATCCTGGATCCGCGCCTGCTTCAATCTAACGTGAGTGGGCTGATCAAGAGAGAACTTTTTATGCAGCATCCCCTCAACTCTGGAACAATTTACCTCAATGTATAAAACAAGCAGATTCAACAGACAAATTCAAAAACCTACTTTTTTGTTAAATAGCCTTTTTCATTTGCAAATGCAGCCCCCTCGATTGTCCACTATCTATTATGTATAACTTAATATTTGGCTGTAATTCCTTCTCTTTCTATTTTTCTTAAGCGCTTAGAGACATATTTTGTGATAAGCGCTATACAAATGTTGTTAATTATTATTATTATTATTACATTAATTATTTAAGTAAGACTACAGTCTTACTTATACGTTTAAATCCCTAACAAATTAGACGAAGAAAAAAGCTATAAAAGAAAAACACACACAATATGCTGAAGGAAATTATAGTCTTTCAGGTTATGTATTTTTTGTAAAAACTCCTTTGATTTCATACTAGAAACGACAATTGCCGGATAAGAGTATTAGTGAAATATATTTGAAATCAAAATAATAATGTCGAAAAATTGGTGTATTAGGCCTATATGAAAAAGAAAATGAATTATGAAAATTGTCCTTTATGTATCTTTTATCTCTCATATTTCCATCACAAAACAAAGAACCTATCGCAATGACATAGCCAGCATTTCAGTAAGTTGTGTGTGTGTGTGTGTGTGTGTGTGTGTGGGGGGGGGGGTTGTATGTGTCCCAAATTTACCGACAAAAATCAAACTCATGTCGCAAGCAACGCATATGCACACTTAGTTTAATAAAATTTTAGTCATCAAATATTTTCATTCTGCATAAATTTACGATGACAACCACTAATGCATTTCACCGACACTGTTGTCCATAAAGTTGGAATAAGGTTTCTTAGCTCTTTTTATGAAGGGCTTGTGAGAATAATGTTTTTGTCTTTATAAATAAGGTTTACATATTCACATAACTTTATTTAACAGTATCTTTGACTCTTTGTTTGTTTGTTTGTTTATTTTATTTTAACACGGTGGCATACCTCAGCCAATGGCTGTTCTTCAGCATGGCCGTGCATATAAAAAGCAATCACAATTTTACAAAGAAACATACATTATAGATTAACATGATTTACATACAAAGTTAAATAAAACATACACACATATATATAGGTTAAAAGGCGAGAGATACAAACAAGCCCTAATTTAGAAAAAGAATACGAACACAAAAATAATATTAAAACAAAATAGAAGACAAACAAATCAGTTGTTTTTGTTTGCTATTAATAGTCAAACATGATATTACAAATATTATAAACTGCTTTTGAAAGTACAGTAAGTTGGTTTTTATTTAGTTTCTACCGGCAATTCATTCCTTAGTTTTGCATCATAATAACTTAAACTTTTCTGAAGATTGGTCGGTAACGTTAAGTAAAGATATTAACTTCATCTATCATGAAAAGAGGTAAGAAAAGATTATTCCAACTTTACGGTCAACATTGTATAAGATAATTCAGAAACAGTTGTATGTTAACAAAATGTATATGATGTTACAGAACTCTGCATTCGAATCAGATAAATTGGCGTATAGGCGTAACCTTAAAATTTTCATGCAATACACACGAGCAGTATACTACTTTAATATTAATGACTGGGCTTTGAAACGATGAACGCGGAAAGGGTAACAATATGACGAGTAGTGGGTGGACCGCAGCCCTGACGTACACGGCAAAATAAGACAACGAATATAACTCTTCAAGAAATAAAAACTATTTCGCGTATCAAGAGGCGTTTACAATTCTTTCTAACCACACTTAAAATCTCGAAAATCTCGACCACTCAGAAAAGTATTTAGCCTTTCGTCATTAGATAAAGCAGCAGTCAAAATAACAAATATAACTATGCGGTAACCATTTTGTCTATTATAACTGCCATGCGCGGCTGAACTATCTCTATAAAGAGTTTTCGTGTGCGGGAAAATGGACGTCAATATACAGGCGGATTAGATGAGCAGAAATAGATTTTGCGGAATTCGACTTACCTTTGCGGGCAAAACACACAAGCCCGACGAGGAGGGTGAAATAGACAATCGTCTTCATTTTTCAAAGATGTTAAACAAACTGATCAAGTGAAATAATATCAAATTAATAACTCCACAAGCGAACATGCGATTCAAGTTCCAAATCTAGCCATCAAAACTTTCCTGTGGAGCAGACCTATCGAGAGCCGGATCAAGGTTTCCTGGTGTTATGATGTACCACCCGACCACTGGTACGGGTATATCGTCGTTAAAGTATCATATCATATCGTCGTTTTCAGTGATTTTACACAATAATATATTCTTTGCATTTTACTCGACCGTTCACCCGTGGCATCGCCTTTGAACTTGGTAAAGAAAGAAAAATATGTATTGACGTATGGTATATTGATTTACTGGAATGGGTGTGCCGAGTGTGTGTGGTGCAAAGTGCAATTTCGACCACACTCTCCCATTAAACATAAATCATTTTATGTAAATCACAGAATCATAATTGCTTTTGTTAAATTGATGATCTAAGACTCAAAAAGATCTCTCAGAATATGCCATACGGACACAATTTATTTACACCTATAGAAATATCGCAAGTCCACTCCAACAATAACTTAACTCCAATAGGAGCAGAAAAATCAGATAAACCAATCAAAAAAAGTTTGAACAAAATCGGATAACTAATAAGAAAGTTATGAACTTTTAATGACATGAAAATCTTTGAAAATCACAATAGAATACAAATTGGCAACTCACTCATGAGTCTGTGACGTTATTGTCTTACTATCCACCAATTGTTTTCTTTATATGATAATATAAATTTCAGATGTTCCCCCTAAAAATCTTTTTTACTCACATCAGCATTGATGGTAATATTGATGGTAATATGTTTTTGTGTGGATGCACTAATATAGAGCAATTTTGTAGTTAAATCGTGGAAAATGTGAATTTTGATACACTATTTATAGAAAAATCAATGATTATGAATATCAAATATCCAGAAAATAGTACCAATTCTTCATAAAAGATTTTGTGAAATGTAATGCACGCAATATGATACAGATCAAATAACCTGGACAAAGGCGTGGGGAAATCTAGTTTGGAGGGATAAAAAGGAAAATAATGGGATAAATATATATCAAGCAATTGATAAATAGTGAAGCAATGACGTCACAAACTGATTTGTGTTAGGTTTCCATGGTTCCATAGTTGTTCATACTTTTTAAAAATTCATCACTTCCTTATATTAGTTATCCGATTTTACTAAAACTTGTGTTGCTCTGTTTTTCTTGTTTTTCTGCATCTTTTTAAAGCAAATTATTTTTGAGTGTACTTGACTTTAATGGAAAAAGTGTGTGTACACACCCAGTTCTCCAAAGATATATGAGGCTTTTTCTGAAGTATTAGTTGCTGTGTATCCAACATAGGGTATAGGTTTGTGAAGGTGGGGGGGGGGGGGGGGGGGGGGGTAAACATACCATGGGTCTATGTCACATTAGACTACTCTCCGCAGCCAACTGAGTGAATTTTGCCCCACCCGTTTTATTAGTTTCTGGATATGCCACTAGGCATGGGGGCGGGGGGGGGGGGGGCGTAGAGAGAGAGAGAGAGAGAAAGAGAGAGAGAGAGAGAGAGAGAGAGAGAGAGAGAGAGAGAGAGAGAGAGTGAGAGAAGAGGATACTTGGATGGGGTTGATAAAGGGACGACGAACATATGGGCACATAATTTGCATCATTATCTTAATCATAGTCATCATCAACATCATCATCTTCAATACCATCACCATTATCACCACAATGTTTCCAAAATCATCACCATCACTGCCACCACAATCAACATCAACACATTAACATCCTCATCATCACTGTCATCAAAATCAACATCAACTCATCATCATCACCGTCACTGCCACCACAATCAACATCAACACATTAAAATCCTCATCATCACTGTCATCAAAATCAACATCAACTCATTAAAGGTAAAGACCAGTTATGGTCATGCGATTGCATTGTGAAAGAAACGTTGTGGAATCGATCAGAAAAGGTTGATCATCTAGCATCTAGCATCTGCAAGGTTCTGGAATCATCAAAATGATAAGAAATTTGGCCCATTCTTCGTAAAGTTATAAGCACTATACACAGAAAGATGTATATGGGACTACCCTATATCTCTCACAGTCCATGAGAGAAACAAATTTACCAAATATATGAATGAGTAGGCGGTTTCCCGGCAAATTTTTTATCATCATGTATTAGTCAAAACATATTCTTTCACATGATTGGTAATGAGAGCTTCCATTTCATTTTTTGAAATTGGGGCCTTTCCAATACTGGTCTTTACCTTTAACATCATCATCACTGCCACCACAATCAACATCAACTCATTAACATCATCATCATCATCACCATCATCATCAACTCATTAACATCATCATCATCATCATCATCATCAACATCACCATCACTGCCACCACAATCAACATCAACTCATTAACATCATCATCATCATCATCACCATCATCATCATCACCTGACCAGTACCACCATGATCATCATCATCATCACCATCACCTGACCAGTACCACCATGATCATCATCATCATCACCATCACCTGACCAGTACCACCACCATCATCATCATCATCACCATCACCTGACCAGTACCACCATCATCATCCTCCTTCTCATCACAAATATTATTATTCTCCACCATGCACTCTTCAATTACCTTTAATACAAGGAATGTATGATGAACATTATATCCTTCAATATCACTGGCATCACAAGAAATTCTTAAGGGGGGGGGGGGGGGTGGCTGGGGTTCGCAAAATATGTTTACCATCGACAACAACAACTATCCCCCCCCCCCCCACCCCTTAATTACAAGGGTCCTAATTTTTAAAAATTTACTGACAAGGGTAGAAAGGTCCTCAAATTTCACATATGTTGAAATTGTGAATTTGCTGACCCTCTGTTTTCGAGGGTGGGAGGAGAGGGAGTGGTTGGGGTTAGTGGATGGTCATCACCCCCTCCCCCCCCCCCATCATATTCTATGTCACCACAATAATTATCTAAATGAAAGTAATAATACAACACCCTTCAAAGTATGAATGCTCTCAAGAACTTTTAAGTACAAGCTTATTAGCTCAATCAGATTTATTTTCAAGAAATAAATTCCATAACACATTTAAAGGGAATGCAGAATTATTGATCACATTTTCATAGTATAATATATATTCACAATATGCACAATTTAAATGAAATATATATATATCTTATGTATATACTTCTATACAAGTGATTTCACCAATGCATAACTTTACATGAACAACAACAAAGGTTTTTTTTATCTTTCTACAATCATCTTTAAATTAGATAAAAATCAAATGCTTATCCATGTGAAATATTCATACCTTTGTAATTACACAGAAAAGGTCACAACACGAATGTATTCTTTCAATTTTCTTTTAAGAATGTGCTGATATCACTGTAACTGCTTATCAACGCAAGGAAGGGGGAAATGGCTGTATTATAATCTTTCAATAACTTTTTTTTAATAACTTGACTAGAAAATTTAAAAAATGACATATGGAAAAAGAAATGAGATGAATAGGGTAACATTATAAATATGAAAAACTAGCTACAACGAAGAAAAAAAAAGAAAATTTACAAATGAGGGTTGACAACAATTTTAGGAGGGGAAAATACCAATCAGTAAAGCCCAAGACTTCTTAAGTAACTACATTTTCATCATTCACTTTCAACATCAAACTAAATTCTAACATACACTGCAGATGCTGGACTTAGAGTAGGATTATCTTGTTCAAGAATGAAAATTATTTAAAAAAATCAAGGAGGGGACAAACTAGGCACTCCTTCAGAAGGTTTCAAAACAAGACAAGAGAAAAGGATCCTACTTCTTATGAAATGGCAATTTCAAGAAGAAAATGGAATGATGAGTTTGCATATTCAAACATTTATGTGGACTACAGAATTATGAAACTCGGTTGCTCCCACAACAAGAAAAATTCAAATGCATTGTATGCTACATATACATTGTATTCATGCAAAAATAGATTGCGAATCTAAATTACTATCAATCAAATTACCAATCATTTACGTATATACAGTATCTATCTCAAATACATATTTTTTCTAATTAGGCAGAAATCATCTTTGGGATTTAAAGTGATCTTGAGTTTTGAAATGTCAAAATGTACAATTAACAACAATTTTGACAAAATGTCATCATTTTTCTAATACTGTATGTTACTGGTCCATGAACTAAGTAACAACAACAACTCTGGGTGACTTTAAGACATTTTACGAACTCAAAGTGCAGGTTCCGGAACTCAAAATTAACTTCTTCACTATATAAAACTTCATTCTATTAATTGAATAACAAATTTTCCTCCTCTTCAGAAATGTTAAGGTGCCTGCTAACAACATATCGTCGCTGTTTTCACGAAGTGACGGTAGTGAAAAAAAATTGCATTCACTTTGCATTACGATTTTCCTCGCTACCGTCACTTCGTGAAAACAAGGACGATATGTGCATACAGTAAATGGTGTTTATCATTGTTCTTGTTTTGTTTTTCGATACCAATTATTTCCCCCAAATTCTCCCATACCAGACTCTATTCATACATCATTCGTTTTTAAAATTTCTATCAAAAAGGAGAATGCAATAACACTTCTTCAAAACACAAATTCTAAAATTCACAAGTAAGGTTGTCCAAATGAATCCATTTTCTTGTGCAATGTCAGGACAAGATTTTTAAATAACATTGTTAAAAGGCTGACAGGAGGGCGTAAGCATGCACGCAAACTATTCTTTATAATCTGACAGGGACTTCTCTCTTTATCAATTAATGAAGAAGTGCAAAATGATGGTGATTACCTAACTTGAGTTATTTTGTATCAAACAAGCACATATTTTTTATTGACATTAGGAGCATTCTAATGTTATTGGACTTCTGTCAGCTGCATGAATGATGTGTTTAAAGAAAACTAACTGAATTCAACCCCACTCCTAATACTGTTTTTCAGTTTCCTGACAAAGAGGGTCGGTCTGAGTAAATATCACAGAAAAATTGTATTGTTACAGTCCTTTTCATACCAATATTTTTCTACCAGGTCACTTATTGTTGGTGTACAGAGCTCATCAGAATATGTAATCCTCCATCGACTATTAAGAATGCTATTTATGTTGGATGCATTCATCTGTGAAACCTATCGTGAATCTTTAATCTGTTGATAAACACCAAGAAGACAGACATCAGACTGCCTACAGACCATACAAAAAGTCACATTACCCCCAAGAAGCCTAAAAATAGAGTCGGTTCGCTTGTGCGACTGGGCTATAACAAATGAATTCTCTCACCCCCCCCCCCCCCCCCAGACTACATACAGGAATCAATTGGTGTCTGTGGGTAGTGGATGAATATCACATATTTTCAAGTACTTATGTGGATTCTATTGTTACTGCGTTCATTGTTGTGATGAAATTTGATTTGATTTGCTTGTCACCATCGATCCACAGAGATTCATATGAATTTGATTAATGAAAATAACAAATAGAAGACGAGGGAGAAGGAAGAGAAGGAAAGGAGAGGAGGAAAGATGAAAGGAGAGAAAAGGAGAGAAAAGGAGAGAAAAGGCAGAGAGAAAAAAAATAGGAATTAGAAGATGAAAAGATGGAGAAAGAGGAGATGAAGAAAAAGCAGAAATGAAAGGCATGAAGACAAAAAGAATAGATATAGGTATAGCAAAAAGACTACAGCAAAAATTTCTGTAAGAAACAATTAATTGGCAGCTTTGCATCCATCTATAATTAGATACATTGAGTATTTTGTTTGTTCACTATGGGCATCAACACTTTATGAATAATAAACTATTATAAAAAGATAAATAAAATCAATCAAAATTCAATTCTTTACTGGAATATTCACTTTTAACCTAAAGTGTTCTTTTATCGGGTCAGAATAACAGACTAACGCCTACTATCATAATGATATATCTGAATATAAAATGCCTGGCAATTATAATGGTAGTCAGGAGATCCTAATTTTCAGATTGCCCGACTATTTGATTCCTACTATTTGTGTGACCATTCATTTTGTTTCTCTTACAAAATATAAGAAGAGAAATAAGCATTTGTTTAATAGACAATCAAGTTACAAATAACTGTACAAGCACCACAATGTAGTAGATTAGATTAATCACAACTCTTTTAAATAAGACGGACCCCAAATTCAAATCATTTGCAAGTTTGCAGTTTCCTATCTCTTATGTAAGTAGTTGTGATTGATATCAATCTCAAATAAGTTGTGATTAATATCGACTTTTTATAAGACTTATATAACTATATTACATTATAATTATATGAAAGGACAGAAACCTATATTTGTATAGTAGCTATATAGCTATGTTATGTAAATTCATCTATCATCTAAACTGAAATTGACATGGTGAAAACAAACTGACCACAAAATGAATGATGGAAATTTTGATGCAAATCATGCCACATCTCATCTTAACAATACTCTGTTTAAGTGCATTGAGGTTCTTTCTAAGAGCAGTGAAAATCCTACAATTCAAAGTACAGATCCTAGACCATCTCCGATCAGATTGAATAATCTAATCTCGATGGGCAAAAATAGCACATACAAAAACCATAATGATATATATCACATTAATATATACAAAATTCATCAATCTAAGTAATATAATTGAAGTTGAAAAATGAATTTTAATATTTATCTACTCATCTGGTTCAATCAATAAACTGCATCAAAACAGGAATAATGCCACATCATAAAACCAACTCTTAGGACAACAAGAGAAAAAAGAGAGCTTATCTACTTGCCTGACATATACATATATGTATATCAAACAATGGTAGCCATTTATGTTGCTTATTGTACAAAAAAACAAATTCTCATACCTTGATGCTAGAGATCATCAGTTTTGTATTGAATACAGTTATAATGGCTCATCTCAAAAGGTGATGGAGAAAATTAGAGTGTAGAACAAAAACATATCTACATCTGACACTGGCAAGTATCTTGAAAAAACGAACAACAATTCATCATGCCAGTGAATATACAATCCCTAAAATCTTGCTTTTTGTTTAAAACAATTACCACTTCCAAAAAATAATTTATTATTGTTTGCATCTAGAAGTTTCTATTTATTCATCTAATTTCTCTTTTTGCAAAAGAGATATTGCTGCTGCGTTCATACGCTCCCATCCAAGCCCATGCAAGATGGTTGCCATCGACGACAGACCTTGGCAAGTCAGGTGACCCTGTCACACCCCCCATGTCCAGTCATGTGATTTGTCAGGTGACCTCTTATTTGTTTCTTAGGATGTTCTTCGCTCTCTTGTCGGCGCTGTTTATTCTACCTTCATTGGATTCAGCCTGGATGGACAAGAGAGATGAACGAGAGAAAAGAGAAGGAGAGAGGAAGAGAAAGAGATTTAATTATATGCATTACGACAGTTACCAGGTATACATAATTTAACAAATCAGTTGGAAATCAAAAAGGAAATATGGAATGAATTCAGACATCACAATACTGTAAAAGTGACAACTCTCTGATGAGGAAATAATTATGATGATGATCAACAAAGATTACCAAGTAGACAAAAAAAGGAAAGACATGTAATAAAGGCAAACACAAAACATCGCTGTTGCTCAATGACTTATGAATATTGCAATTGTGTCCTAAAGAATTCATCCATAATTCTTCCAAATCCATTATGACATAAAACATTATATGTGATAAATCTATTTCTCATACAAGAACCTGTACATGAACAACACAGTTTTAAAAACAAAAACAATAACACACAGCTAGAAACAGAAAAACACATAATCAAATAAACAAGCACAAAAATTTATTCGGAAAGAAATCAACTTTAGTCTATCAAAGTCAATCTAAAAATAGATAGAAACATGTAAGTACTAAAAAATGGAAATGTAAACTTTTCTAGAGAAAAATATGGCAAATATGAAAATCAGAAAACTATTCTATTCACGAGAAGAATTTTTTGAAATGAATGCACCATGGAAATGTGTATACTGAAGTGGTCAACAGAGATGGTCTTTGCGATTCCTGGAGATTTTGTTTAGTCCCAGACAAGCTTAGAATTGTACTGCTGCAGCTCACTTCAGTGTAACGACACATATCAACTTGAATTATGGATGGTGTGCTGTTGTACTACATGTATAAAGGAGTGTCCTATGATATTGATGATAATACATACGTAAGCAATTAAAAGTTGAACAGCATCTTAAAGATGTTACTTCCTTCCAAGAATGGCAAAGATCAACTGTAATGTTTAGTTTGTTCATCGGTGTTCGTATAATTGATTTCTTTGAAAACCTGTACTCGGGTAATTGTACATTATACAAGACGAATACTGATTACGTCTCATAGGCAAGAGAATCTCTCAGAATGGTGATCAGAACTGGGTGTAGAAAGTATTATTTTACTTGGTATTCAGGCATGCTAAATGATGGAGCTTATTTAGTGAGTGTCAATTCCATTTTAATATTCAGGTAAACTTGGATACATGAGGAATATTCAATCTAGACTTTCTGGTACATAAAAGAGGGAAGAGGGAGTTTGTAGACAGAAAACTGGGTTCATTGTACATACTAATATCATTCTACAGAACATACATGACGAAACAGATAAGGATGAGGAAGACATCATCTGTTTCAGAGCGAGAAGGGTGGTACTCAAAGGGTTAAAACCCTTCTGCCTCTCAACAGACATCAAGTAACATTAGGCCTGTCTTCATCAGCTCGAGATTGCCAAATATCCTGCTATTTGAACTATCCCGATCACAAATTATCCAGTTAATTTGCGTCTTCATCAGCCGGAAGTTGCAATTAGCGGTATATTTGGCCGAGATAATCATCCCAAGATATCTTGGGCTAGTTTGCAAAATATCCCGCTATTTGTCCAGTGCGTCTTCACCAGCCCAAAGACTCCCACTATGCGCAAACGCTGAGCAAAATATCTCGAGCTCGAGTTTCAAGTTTCGAGGTCAAGTCTCGAGCTGATGAAGACGCAATTTGTAACTTCTGGATTATTTTTCAAATCAGAAATAGCAGGCTATTTGGCAATCTCGAGCTGATGAAGACAGGCCTTTTGAATCTAGTCTTGACAAGATAGCTTGGCCAAGGCTTTCCGATGGAACTGGTGTGGTTTGATTCGATGCTTCATTGGCTTCATGATGTACAGATACAGTCCCACAAGGACACGATGAACCGCCAAGAAGTCATTGTGAAACACATTCAATGAGATCGTTGATACAGAAATAAACTCATCAGAATGGATAGCTTTGGTGTAAAATAGGTGTACAAAATCACAGAATGATGGGCATGCTCTTACACGTGCGGATGATTTCATTATTTGGCTGTCAGGTCGGGTCGGCTGCAGGTCAGGTTTGCCAGCACTCGTAAAGTGCAGTGTAGTATGAAAATTCACAGGAAAAAAACATTGAAAAACCCAGACAAACAACCAACATCAAAACACAATCCTACAATGATCTACAATATATATATACAATACATCAAAACATATGCTACTGAGAGTCTCATTTTGGAATTACATTAAGAACATGCAGATAAATTAACATATGCAGATAAATTAACATATGCACAAAAAGAGAATAAATTTACATGCCGGGAGAAATGAAGTGAGTATGAGTGAATGCTTGAATGAATGAAAGTCAAAATTAAAAACTCTCCTAAGTACTTTTCAGAATTTCGTCCCCCTCTCTCTCTTGACGGTAAGTACGACAAATATCAGAATGTCAGCTACACAAGAATACCATCTAAAACTTAGTTTTTCCATTAAAAAAGAAATCATCAGTTTACCAGGGACATGTTTTTTTGTTTTTGTTTACAATACTGCTTTGCTGTACATCAAAACTATGATAAAGCGACTTTTTACAAATTATTGCAAAAAGTACAGAAATTACATCTTTAAAGTAACTTTCACAACAAGACTGAGGTATACTGTCAATTTTACAGATAGAAATGGAGCGAAAATAATCATCCCCTAATTAAATTGTGTCGATGAGTGACAGATTTATGGCATATATTTCTTTACATATATGGTTTCTTTTGTCCACAACCCCTGATAGAATTCACTAAAATAATCAAGGACTAAGGGAATGTGTGCATTATTGAGCACAGTTTCTAACATACCTTTGATTTGCTTATAATACTCACTCAAATACTTAGAAAATATACTTTAACACATACAACTGACAGAAAAAAAGGCTAAAAGCCTAAAAATTTAGGAAAGAATAGAATATATATCATAAAAGCATACTAGAGATAGAAAAGAATAAAATATACATTCATTGACATAATAAAGTGAGATAAAACTGTAGCAATCTAGTCTATAACATCAAACATTGATAATTCTGTAAGGTTGTATCCACTTATCCATTATGCTGAAGAGTCCGACAAGAACGTGTGCTTTTCCTTTTGTCAGCGTTGAAGAGGACATAAACATTTCTCCCCAGAAAAGGGGAAGTTCCTACTTGCATCACATTCTAATAACATTAATTTTCATCAGTACTATTTCTCATACCAGTTAGTCCACTCTTGTTTTATCATAGGAAGAAGTGATAACCCGATCACAACTAATTAAAAAAAACTCAACTTAAGCAATGTTAATTGCCTTGTCCATTACCTGTAGAAATGTGCGTATATTTCAACGACATACCGGTACATGGACTATGTAATCTAAACACAATTTCTTTTGGATATATACAACAGGGTATTAAAACTGCCATTGATTTGTGTTCTTCTTGAAACTAGCTGCGATCATGCTTCTTGTTTGAAAGGTCTCTTCTCATACAGCTAAAGCTTAACTTACAGCTTACAGAAAGTTACAGCTTAACTTTCATAAGTTAAGCCTGGATTTTAATTTTTAACAAACAGGTTGGGCTTTTTTATACTTGTCATCTTCCTCAAAACATTACATTCTCTAACCAGTTCAGGACTAATAAAAACTAATTACTTTAGTAGTATCAAAATAACCCCATTTGCACAAAATAAACATAGCAACAACACACCTGTAAATTGTATCTAAAACTTTTAGAAGCATATTGTTGATAATACACATAGTTGCATATTTTCATGGCTTGCTAGAATCTTGAAGAGAAATGTAATAAAAATTTGCACCAAAATGGAGAAAAGATTGATTCTTTTAATTAGATGTTATTAATTTCTCTGCATCTACCAACATATCTATCTATGTTGGTTTTACTGGAGTAAAATACAGTAGTAAATTATAAGAAGAAAAAAAAAAATTTAGGAACTTATTCGTGGTTTTGAGTTGACACTTGACAGGTCTCACAATCATAAAGTTGGATTAACATTATGTGCAAATGAGGTTATATGAAGATCAAGCATATCAGATTTGCCGACAAAATCACTCTACACCCTTTATTCTACACTTTACAGTTGATACAGAAGTGAACTTAAAACAGCAAATGTTTGATTTCATACCCTTTTATTTCGATTTTGCTTTCACGTTGTTTTGAATCCTTTGCATTTCATTTTGTTACCTTCCAGATTTAGCACAGTACAAACAAAATGCTAAACAGTATCAGTTTAACAGGGAAGAAATACAGTGAAAGTACATTACATTATTTGACCTTAAACAACACTCAGTACTACTAATCAGGTATATCTTTATAAATACATTTAGAAACAGCATGCAGAAAAAATAATAAAAATCGCAAATCAAATAAAAGAATTATGTAAGTACAAGTAAACTCTTACAATTTATAGCTTTTATGAAAGAAATTTAGTTCGTTCAGTTTATGTACAAATTGATGTCGTTGCACCGCATAACACATGACGAAAAAATTCTTTCTCTCTGAAACATACTAAAAAAAGGGTAGATTCATATGTACAGTCCTTAACTCTAGTCCTACCCATGTTTACATGTACGAAGTGCAAGAATTTGGCTATTAAACCGTCAAAACAGAATGTTATACATCCAATTCATTCTGACATGGCAAAAAGTGACATCTATAGTCCTAAAATGAAACAGCCGTCTTGCAAAAATCAGTTCATTCTAGTATAGACCGATCATATTTTCAAAATTAAAAACTACTTTGAATGAAAGTTATCAGTTTAGAATACCAATCTCTTATGAAAAAAACGAGGACCACTTTCACAACCTGTTATTGAATAAATTAAAACGATTGATAAGAGCATTACACTACTGTTAAACTATTCATAAGTAAAAGTCTAGCCATTCACATCAGCCGATTCAATCCCTAACAAAAATGAAATTTAATTCTCATATCAATCTTCATTAATAAATTGTGAAAGAAAATTCACAATCATAATTTAAGTACTAAGAAGTTCTTTTAGACACA